GCTACAATCTCCGCCGAGCCAGTTACTCCTGTAGTCCGGGCCATTGCTTCGGTAGCCACTGAGCCAGCAGCTCCTGTGTGTCTGCAGCTTCCGCCGTCGCCTCCCATCTCCTCTCCTCTCACGGTCCCTCCTCCTCCTCACATGCCCTCTGTGACTACCTCTAGCTTTACTTGGGCTTGTGAACTATTTTATGACTGCTTGTTGTGTTGATTACACCCCACTTTGGCTATGGGGGTGTGTCAAAATGATGTAATTGTCTAGCCTGCAGTGGGGTACTCTATAGCGAGTACAACCCAACTAGGGTCTCCTATATGTATCTCAACTGCTGCTAGTGCAAACCTCTCTTTCTTCTTCTAAACTTTTCCTCGTAATTGTGACATATATTATATTTTAATCATGCTGGACATGTTTGGTGTCATTCGCAGCATCTCGTAGGGAGATATGATGTTCCAAACATGCGAGTAGGGATAACTGTGCAATGATAGGCCTCTGCTATTTTATGGTGCCAAATCAACAACCGTTTGCTATTTCAAAAAAGGTTTCTATCTACCATTCAAGCATTTACTATCTTCTAAGCATGTCAGACAGGTTTCGTGCCATTCCTCGTGTATGGTACAGAGATATGATGTTGCAAACATGCGAGCAAGGAGAACTAAGCAATGATAGGCCTCTAATATTTTATGGTTCCAAATCAACAACCGTTTGCTATTTTAATCAAGGTGTTTTTCTATCATTCAAGCATTTACTCTCTTCTAAGGGTGCTAGATATGTTTCGTGTCATTCGCCGCGTTTGGTAGGGAGATATGATGTTCCAAACATGCGAGAAGTGATAATTGAGGAACGATAGGCCTTTGCTATTACGTGGTGCCAAATCAACGCCCGTTTGTTGTTCTAAATCAGGTTTCTTTCTAACATTCAAGCATGTACTATATTATAATCACAATGCGCAGACGTATTTTTATAACAAGTTACTGTTTTTGTAGATTTTAATTCTATTAGTTAATAATTCAACACAAATGTATACATCATCCACTCCCTAATTAGTTGTTCTTTCATGGTTATATTTTTATGTGAGAATGTGTCACCATGCTTATCAAAGATTTTATTGCAGCATTTTGTATTACTTTACAAACAACTTACGAAGCAAAAAAATGTAGGCCCGAAGTTGGCACCAAATCAATCATATTTTGGTCCAATTTTGAGGGCCCGAACCGCGCCCTGCTGCTCTTGCGTCAAATGTGGCTCAACAGATTGAATGTTTTCGCGGGACCACCTGAAACTCGAAATTCAAGCCAAGTCAAACGCCAGAACTTGACCAAAATCAGGCCAATTTGGGTTCGCCGAGGCACGTTCCGTTTTGCGAGTCGGTTGGATGGAGCGAAAAATTGCAAACATTGGGAAGCGACGGATTTCGCTGGAGGTTGGGCGACAAAAATTTGCAACACCCATGCAAACCCAACTTCGAAGCCCAACTTCAACTTCTTTCCCCACGATTGAAAATGGGCCTTTTTGGTGATGTGTCGCCCTCGTTTCCCTTCCCGTTGCCCTTGTTTCCCTTCTCGTCGCCCTCATTTCCCTACCCGTCGCACTTATTTCCCTTCCCGTCGCAGTCATTTCCCTTGCCGTCGCCCTCATTTCACTTCCCGTCGCCCTCATTTCCCTTCCCGTCGCCCTCGTTTCCCTTCTCGTTGCCCTCGTTTCCCTTCTCGTCGCACTCATTTCCCTACCCGTCGCACTTATTTCCCTTCCCGTTGCCCTCATTTCCTTTCCCGTCGCCCTCATTTCCCTTCCCGTCGCCCTCATTTCCCTTCCTGTCGCCCTCATTTCCCTTAACCGCCCTTCCTCTCATCCTCCCTTCATCTCATCATCCCTTCATCTCATCCTCCCTTCCTCAAATCTGCCCTTCCTCGTCCTCCCTTCCTCACATCCTCCCTTCCTCTCATCCGGCCTTCTCTCATCCTCTCGCCCTCTCATCCGCCCTTCCTCACGTCCTCCCTTCCTCTCGTCCTCCCTCCCCTTCGTCTGCCCTCCCTCTCATCCGCCCTTCCTCTCATCTGCCCATCCTCTCATCCACCCATCCTCTCATCCTCCCTTCAACTCATCCTCCCTTCCTCTTATCCGCCCTTCTTCTCATCCTCCTTTCCTCTCATCCTACCTTCATCTCATCCTCCTTCTCTCATCCTCTCTCCCTCTCATCCTCTCTCCCTCTCATCCGCCCTTCCTCTCGTCCTCCCTTCCTCTCACCCTCCCTTCCTCTCATCCTCCCTTCCTCTTATCCGCCCTTCCTCTCATCCTCCCTTCCTCTCATCCTCCTTTCCTCTCATCCTCCCTTCCTCTCATCCGCCCTTCCTCTCATCCGCCCTTCTCTCTCATCCTCTCTCCTTCTCATCCTCTCTCCCTCTCATCCGCCCTTCCTCTTGTCCTCCCTTCCTCTCGTCCTCCCTCCCATTCTTCCGCCCTCCCCCTCATCCGCCCTTCCTCTCATCCACCCTTCCTCTCGTCCACCCTTCCTCTCATCCTCCCTCCCCCTCATCCGCCCTTCCTCTCATCCTCACTTCATCTCATCCTCCCTTCCTCTTATCCGCCCTTCCTCTCATCCTTGGTTGAGTGAGGAAAAGGGCAATGGGACGGCTGATAGGGGTGATGGAAAGTATTGATAAGGGGCTGTGATTTGGAGGAAAAGTAGGGCAGGGAGAGCACGAGAAGAGCAAAGCATCAACCGAGGGACCATATTTCACCTGTGTGGGCAGGAAGGATAGGGGTGTATATCGTGTAATTGGTTCTTGAAATGAGATGGCTGGGGGTTGGGAAGGTAGGGGTGCTGGGAAAGAAGCGGGAAGGGTTCACATATAAAGAACCGGCGTCGGGTGCACAGGCGCTTGAGTAGCAAAAGAAGAAAGGGGTGAGTGAGCTGGCGTAGTAGGGGATGGGGGAAGTGAGGATGGGAGGGAGGGAATTGCAGAATTGATGTCATGGTACAGTGGATGGCAAGTGATGGATGTCAGATACAAAGAACCCTCACCCCACTATGAATAATGATGTGGGATTCCCAATGTGGGAAGGCTTTGAGGAGGGGAGCCTCAGGACATTTGGGATGCGAGGCAAAAAATAGGGTGAGATAAACAGGGAGGGAGGGTGACAGTTGAGTGGGATGGAAGGGAGTGAGGGGGCAAAGATGAGTAGAGGGGGACAAGAGGAGCGGAGGAGGGAAAGAGGGGCAGACAGCAAAAGAGGCGCAAGGGGGGAAAAGTGGAGCTGGCCGGAAAAAGAGGGGCATAGGGGGAACAGAGAAGCATAGGGTTGAAAGTGGTGCAGTAAGGAAAAGGACCAGCGGAAAGGGGAAAGATGAGCAAAGGGGGACAAGGAGAACAGAGGGGGAAAGAGGGCGCACAGGTGGGAAATAGAGGGCATGAAACGAGAGGAGCACGTAGGGTGAGGAGAGAGGAGCACGCATGGTGAGGAGAGAGGAGCACGCGCGGGGAGGCGAGAGGAGCACGTAGGGTGAGGAGAGAGGAGCACGCGTGGGGAGGCGAGAGGAGCATGCAGGGTGAGGAGAGAGGAGCACGCGCGGGGACATCACAATCTTCCGGTCTGGATTTCAGCTGGTTTCCAGCCAGAGTTCAAGACTCGTGGCGGAAATCTGACTGAAAACCAGGGTCGATTTCCGCCTGAACACATGGCACTAACGTGACTGGTTTTCTCGTGGATTGCAGGCCATATCATAGGATGGGTTCAGGGGTTCGGTTCAGCCTGCGCTCCAGCTGGTAACTGACCGAAATGGGTATGGTGGTAACGCCACATTCCGCGTCGGAATCGCGCCTCGGGGCCAATAAATGTAATAATATACACCATTCGTTTTTTGTATAGCAGTTTCTATTAAATCTATGCTCGATATAAATATTTGTATTGTGCTGATTTCTCAATTCGTTTTACAATTGTTTTTTAATTGTTTTGCATATAATAATTTAGCTGTTATTACTGTTGCTGTTGCTGTTATAATTGTTCTGCCCATATAATTTTTAATATCAGAACACAGAAACTAGTATTGCCCATATTACTGCTTTAAGGATCGGTGCATTTATTACCATTCTTATTAACCAGAAATTCAAACAGGCAATAGTGCAGGGTAATCCGACGCATCAATACGGACCCTGTTTTCGAACACCCACGCATTTGTTGTCGCATCATGCGTGACGCCCAGCACATTCACAGAGTGCTCCACCCAACGTCGAACCCTGATGCACGTTAGCTCGAACAACCTGTGGTTTTCACGCTGGTCTGTGCCCAGCTTGCCATCCCCTGCTGCCTCCAACAGTGGGTTCTCGAGCTGAACACAGGAACAAGGCGAAACAGCATTAACATGTTGATATTGAAACCTAACCGTTGGATATAATGAAAAAAACACTTACTGAAAACAAGGCGAAAGCCACCATGCGTGTCTTCCACGCTGTGACATCGACGCGGCGCCTTCGAAACGCCTTGCTCATGGCGATCGCAAACAATTTTGTGGAGAATGGGCACTGCGTGATCTGGTCAACATGCCATTTCAGCCCCCACTCATCTGCCAGAGCATGTGACAGACGAGGGGACAGAGAAGGGGACAGTGCATGTGATAGAGGAGGTGAGAGCATGGGAAGGGACAGCGTAGGAGGGGAGAGCATGGGAGGAGACAGAGCAGGAGGGGAGAGCAAGGGAGGGGACAGAGTAGGAGGGGAGAGCAAGGGAAGGACAGATCAGGAGGTAAAAGCACGGGATGGGACAGAGCAGGAGGGGAGAGCACGGGAGTGGTCAGAGCAGGAGGGGACAGAGCATGTGACAGAGGAGGGGACAGAGCATGTGACAGAGGAGGGGACAGAGCATGTGACAGAGGAGGGGACAGAATGTGATAGAGGAGGGGACAGAATGCAACAGAGGAGGGGACAGAATGTGACAGAGGAGGGGACAGAGCATGTGACAGAGGAGGGGACAGAGCATGTGACAGAAGGAAGGGAGAGAGCATGTCATAGAGGAGGGGAGAGAGCATGTGACAGAGGAGGGGGGGAGAGAGCATGTAACAGAGGAGGGGGGGAGAGAGCATGTGACAGAGGAGGGGGGGAGAGAGCATGTGACAGAGGAGGGGGGGAGAGAGCATGTGACAGAGGAGGGGGGGAGAGAGCATGTGACAGAGGAGGGGGAGAGAGAGCACGTGACAGAGGAGGGGGGGAGAGAGCATGTGACAGAGGAGGGGGGGAGAGAGCATGTGACAGAGGAGGGGGGGAGAGAGCATGTGACAGAGGAGGGGGGGAGAGAGCAAGGGTTAGGAGCTCACCAGTCATGTTGTCCCGGACCAGTTCGGCATCGTTCCGATACACCGCCGGACGATCCAACTCCGCCGGGAGGGACATCACCTTCCCCTTGTTTTTCTCCCGCCCCAATGCAGTTAGAACCAATCGACGGAGTATTTTGCCAATTGCACACCGGGTATTGCTGCATGCTGTATAGAATGCCCCCTTTGTTGTTGGGCATTGTTGTTTCCACAGCAGTTGCAAGTGGGGCATGGTATCAGGGGACAGATAAGTAGATAACCCAGCCATCGCCTCTTCACTCGAAGGATACATCTAGATGTGAAGAGCGTCGTTCAGCCAGAAGAACTCGGTGATGACACTCCGGCACTTCACCTGCCAGGAAAAAAATGTATGAGTAGATGGAAGGATGGGGCAACACAAAATGTACGTGGTGGAGACCACTACGGGGCATGGCATGGTGAGTGCAGAGGAGCAGCGAGACAAGGCAGGAAGGGAGAGCACTGGAGGGGACAGAGCAGGAGAGGAGCGCACAGGAAGGGAGAGAGCAGGAGTGGCAAATCAACGGGGAACAGAGCTGGTGGGAAGACTGCATGAGGGAATAGAGCATGAGAGGAAAGGGCAGCAAGGTTTTATACGCACCTTCCAGTCTCCAGCATCGACGATCACCATTTCCAGAGCGATTTGTCCGGCACTCCGACTTGGAGGGCGAGGAACGCCTATTGTTGCGTCGCTGCCCTGCGACGCAAGTCCTTAAGCAGGAACCGCGACTCCTTGAGCCCTGAGGCTCTCAAACTGTTGGAGCATCTCCTTCCTAAGCGCCGCAAACTCCACTCGTCATACCCACTGCGTCTGCGCCACCCTGGTTGATACGGCAGCCAAAGCCGTGGGCCCTGGAGGCGGCGTCCTTACAGTAGTGGTACCCCTGGACCTGAAAACTCCAGTAGATGCTGCTGCTGCTCCCACCCTCCCTCCAGTCGATGCCGCTGCTCCTCCCACCCTCCCTCCAGTCGATGCCGCTGCTCCTCCCACCCTCCCTCCGGTCGATGCCGCTGCTCCTCCCACCCTCCCTCCTGTCGATGCCGCTGCTCCTCCCACCCTCCCTCCAGTCGATGCCGCTGCTTCTCCCACCCTCCCTCCAGTCGATGCCGCTGCTCCTCCCACCCTCCCTCCAGTCGATGCCGCTGCTCCTCCCACCCTCCCTCCAGTCGATGCCGCTGCTGCTCCCACCCTCTCTCCAGTCGATGCCGCTGCTCCTCCCACCCTCCCTCCAGTCGATGCCGTTGCTCCTCCCACCCTCCCTCTAGTCGATGCCGCTGCTCCTCCCACCCTCCCTCCAGTTGATGCCGCTACAGCTCCCACCCTCCCTCCAGTTGATGCCGCTGCAGCTCCCACCCTCCCTCCAGTTGATGCCGCTGCTCCTCCCACCCTCCCTCCAGTCGATGCCGCTGCTGCTCCCACCCTCCCTCCAGTTGATGCCGCTGCTGCTCCCACCCTCCATCCAGTCGATGCTGCTGCTCCTCCCACCCTCCCTCTAGTCGATGCCGCTGCTGCTCCCACCCTCCCTTCAGTCAATGCCGCTGCTGCTCCTCCCACCCTCACCCCAGTTGATGCTGCTGCTGATCCCACCCTCCCTCCCGTTGACGCTGCTGCTGCTCCCACCCTCACCCCAGTTGATGCTGCTGCTGCTCCCACCCTCCCTCCCGTTGACGCTGCTCCTCCTACCCTTGCAACAGTCATACCCGCAAGAGCTGCTGCTGCTCCCACTTGCATCGCACTAGTACTTGCCCGCAGGGTGACCTGTAGCTGGGGCAGCTTCCCCCCTCCCCCCCCCAAGGTTGAATCGCTCGATGGTGGTTGGCGGACCCATACCAGAATTCTTCACCGCTGATTGGTGTAGGGTGAGAGCAAGATGGGACAGGTCAGGATGGGATAGCGCATGAGGGGACAGGTCAGGACGGTTTAGGGAAGCTAGTTGGGAATATTCATGGGACAACGGGAGTATTGACAGAGACGGATGGGAAAAAGCAAGGCGGGTCAGAACGAAGGGTTACAGGGCTGGAGGGCAAAAAGTGGATGACTTACGCTTTTTGGGCTTAGGTTTTGTCTTTGTCTTCCCCTTCGTTGCTTCACCTTTACCCTTTGGAAGGGGTTTAGTGCTGGCCTTCTTACTCCTGCGCTTCGTGGGTGGCTTCGCCGCCGCCAATGCCCCTTTCACGGTCTGCCCTCCTTGTTTATCCTTTGCTTCTCCGCCACGCCCGTTACCGCACTGTTGCGTATCATCCGGTGTGGCCCCCAGAATCATAAACCGCCCTTTCTTCACCACTCGTGCAGCTTCTTCATCCTCATCCAGCGCCGACCCGCGGCTGAGTGCTTGTACGCGTGTCCACCGCCCATTAGTTCTCTCCTCTGCACTAAAATTGGAGTAATCGGACAAGTCTTCGCCCACATTGTCGCCATCTGCCTGGACCCCATCTGCCTCCTCTCCTTCCGCCTGCTCGCCTTCCGCCTCCTCTCCAGCCCCATCTACAACCCCTACGCTTTCCCCCTCTTCGCCTTCCCCCTCTTCGCCTTCCCCCTCTTCGCCTTCCCCCTCTTCGCCTCCCCCCTCCTCGCCTTCCCCCTCCTCGCCTTCCCCCTCTTCGCCTTCCCCCTCCTCGCCTTCCCCCTCTTCGCCTTCCCCCTCCTCGCCTTCCCCCTCTTCGCCTTCCCCCTCCTCGCCTTCCCCCTCTTCGCCTTCCCCCTCCTCGCCTTCCCCCTCTTCGCCTTCCCCCTCGCCTTCCCCCTCTTCGCCATCCCACTCCCCACCTTCCGCCCCTTCGCCTTCCGCCTCCTCGCCAACAGCTCCTACGCCTTCCGCCTCTCCGCCTTCCGCCCCTTCACCTTCCCCCTTCTCGCCTTCCCCATCCTTGCCTTCGTCCGCTTCGCCTTCGTCCGCTTTGCCTTCGTCCGCTTCGCCTTCGTTCGCTTCCCCTTCGTCCGCTTCGCCTTCGTCCGCGTCGCCTTCGTGCGCTTCCCTTTCGTCCACTTCGCCTTCGTCCGATTCGCCTTCGCCCGCTTCGTCTTCGTCCGATTCGCCTTCGTCCGCTTCGCCGTCGTCCGCTTCCCCTTCGTCCGCTTCCCCTTCGTCCACTTCCCCTTCATCCGCTTCGCCTCCGTCCGCTTCGCCTTTGTCCGCTTCACCAACCACCTTCTCGCCATACGTCTCGTCGCGATATGAACCGTCATCATTCGCCACACCAAACACCGCCTGTTCACCGTGCGCCACATTATCGACCGCATAGCCATTCGGATCGGCGGACGTTTCCATACCGTCGTCATTCTCACCTAGAATGTCCGCGGTGAAGCCATTTGGGAGCTTGCGCCGTTCCTCGGTGGCGCATTATGCTTTCTTACCACCTCTCTTTCGACGCCCACGGCCTTTTTTTGTGTTCGCCTGCTCTCCCGCGTGCTCACCCTTATGGCCTTGGGAGATGGTTGGTTGCAACATTGCTGAGATGCAAAGGGCTGTAAGTGAAGGCGTTTGTTAGTAGTCAAAGTTTTGAGCAAGTACTACAAGCTCGAAACATCGCCTATAAACAGATCATGGTGCACCGCTCTTCGCACCTCGACGCTTGGTAGCCAGGTATCGGAGTAGCCGTCGAACAAGATTCGTGCGCTACGCTCGTATCGTGCCCGGCGTGACAGCATCCCCACCACCACGGCTCGCAGATCGACGAATACGAGGGACGTGGGAGACATAAAGCCGCCACGAGAGACACGTACAGCACCGTCGGAAGGTTGAAAATCGGTGGTGAGGCAAGTTACATGCATGAGACAGAGGCGCGATAGCCATCTGCAGAAAACGAAGGCGACCAAAGAGGGTTGCACTGGACATCCTGCACTGGACGTGCGCACGGTAAGACTAAAAGAGAGAATCACCCATGCTGCATATCTGCTGGTGGGGTCCGTCATGTCGCGACTCGAAACGCTGTTCCTTTCACAAACGAGGCGGCGCTTGTGATTGTAAGGACGCATGTCTTATGGCAAAAATTGTCTAAGGTAGACCCTATTACCGCGTTCTACAGTGGCAAAACGTCTCTTAAATACATCTGACCGTGCACAACCACTCTAGAAGTGCAAAATGTGGCCAAACTACGACCTCAAGGCCACTCGCCCTAAGTGCATACACATGTTCTTGTTAATGGCTCGCTTTCTGGTGAGTGTCGCTGTAAAAAAAGGAAAGGCCTCCATTGGTCCCTGAAATCTACAGTGACCGGTGATGACGCTCGTAGATAGGGGGGTCGCGTTGAAGATCAGTAACAACCCTAAATCTAGATGTACAAAATGGTAGGCTTATATAGATTACATTACAGAAGGTCTCTCTCAAAGATGCCATACTGAAAGCCACAGATTTAGTCAAGTGTTGGAAATTGTACGTGTGTGTTTGTTTTAGGATAGTGATAGCTATACATTGCATTAATACTGCTGAATCATGCACAAATATGCACATGGGATTGGTTTATGTCTCCAAACGTGCTCATATTTTGATGTCTTCTAGGGCTCATAAACACTTTGGTTGAGGTATAAATCTTCATTCAAGTGTCTCTACTATTTCCCCTAGTCCTCCTCTATTGTTTTGTAAAGAAAGGCTTATTTCCCTGAATTTTACAAGAACCGCCGTAACAAGCTATACCAACGAAGCTTCTAGCATTCAACCTCTCATACTCTGGCCATCACAGTTTGTGTCATCTCCACCTTTTGTGTTTATAATCAATGGAACCATGTGCTGCCTCTGTGACCTAGTAAGGTGCCAGGCTGTCAACATAGTTTTGGTTGTTTCACAGGCCATCATCATATATACCCATAAACAACGCAAGCGTGATTGGATGGGCCTGATCTCTTAACCAACTCACTCCCCATATGCAATGAGCTCCTCATACAAACCTCAGAGCGTTCAGAGAAGCGGAACACAGTGGCGTGAAGGCAAGCGTCAAGGCAAGTGTCATGGTTGAAAAAACAGCCCCATTGCACTTGATGCACCGGCTTGAGTTACAATGCTAGAGTGATTGGATGGGCCTGATATCTTAACCAACTCTCTCCCCATATGCAATGAGCTCCTCATACCAATCTCAGAGCCGTCAGAGAAGCGGAACACAGTGGCGTGAAGGCAAGCGTCAAGGCATGTGTCATGGTTGAAAAAACAGCCCCATTGCACTTGATGCACCGGCTTGAGTTACAATGCTAGAGTGATTGGATGGGCCTGATATCTTAACCAACTCTCTCCCCATATGCCATGAGCTCCTCACACCAATCTCAGAGCCGTCAGAGAAGCAGAACACAGTGGCGTGAAGGCAAGCGTCAAGGCATGTGTCATGGTTGAAAAAACAGCCGCATTGCACTTGATGCACCGGCTTGAGTTACAATGCTAGAGTGATTGGATGGGCCTGATATCTTAACCAACTCTCTCCCCATATGCAGTGAGCTCCTCATACCAATCTCAGAGCTTTCAGAGAAGCGGAACACAGTGACGTGAAGGAAAGCGTCAAGGCATGTTCACAAAAGCTGTCAGGCAGAAAAACTGAGACATGCATCAAGGCCTTCTTGAGATGGGATTGGTCTGATTCTTGGAACCTGAGATAATATGATACCTTTGAACCATCCGTACAAGTCTCAGACTAATTGGACAACCAGAGCACACTCTGTTCAAAAAACCAGTGAGCACATGGGGTGAATTCACTCAGGCAGAAAAACTGAGACATGCATCAAGGCCTTCCTGAGCTGGGATTGGTATGATTCTTGGAGCCTGAGACAATATGATACCTTTGAACCATCCCTACAAGTCTCAGACTGATTGGACAACCAGAGCACACTCTGTTCACAAAACCAGTGAGCACATGGGGTGAATTCACTCAGGCAGAAAAACTGAGACATGCATCAAGGCCTTCCTGAGCTGGGATTGGTATGATTCTTGGAACCTGAGACAATATGATACCTTTGAACCATCCGTACAAGTCTCAGACTGATTGGACAACCAGAGCACACTCTGTTCACAAAACCAGTAAGCACATGGGGTGAATTCACTCAGGCAGAAAAACTGAGACATGCATCAAGGCCTTCCTGAGCTGGGATTGGTCTGATTCTTGGAACCTGAGACAATATGATACCTTTGAACCATCCGTACAAGTCTCAGACTGATTGGACAACCAGAGCACACTCTGTTCACAAAACCAGTGAGCACATGGGGTGAATTCACTCAGGCAGAAAAACTGAGACATGCATCAAGGCCTTCTTGAGATGGGATTGGTCTGATTCTTGGAACCTGTGACAATATGATACCTTTGATCCATCCATACAAGTCTCAGACTGATTGGACAACCAGAGCACACTCTGTTCACAAAACCAGTGAGCACATGGGGTGAATTCACTCAGGCAGAAAAACGGAGACATGCATCAAGGTCTTCCTGAGGTGGGATTGGTCTGATTTTTGGTACCTGAGACCACATTATGCCTTTGAACCATCCCTACATGTTTCAGACTGATCGGAAAACAAGAGCGCACTCTGTTTAGAAAACCAGTGAGCACTACCGGTGAATTCAGTCAAGTTATAAAAATGATACAAGCAACAAGGCATTCCTGAGCTGGGATTGGTCTGATCCCTCTTGTAGAATGGTTATCTTTTGCTTGAGCGTACACTTCTCCAATCCATTTCGTAATAATATAGTACCCTTTCTGGTTTGGACATTTTTTTTGTGCATGATTTATACCAAGATAATGTTTAGACTAAGTTCACTGCACTACACTGTTCCTCGACCTTTCGCCTCCACCTCGACAACACTCTAGTATCAGATACGTGTCCTAGATCTCGGCATCGCGTTTGCGCTCGTTTTTCAAAACTTTGCCAGTTCAAACTGCTGTCGCATCACCTCTGGTTTTCGTCTCACCTTTTCTACTACGTACTGATCTATCCACCACTTCTGGCAACGCCTTGTACAAAGCTCCATAACTCCAGTCATATCGTCAATCCTCTCGCCTAATCTCTGACACATAGCGATTTGGTCACCACCTGTAGTCATGACACGCCATGAGTGGATTTCGTGCCGGTTTTGCACCAACCAGTTTAAGGACGCTAAGGCTTTTGGACAGCACAAGGGGAGGTCCAGCTGTCGCTTAAAGTATGCCGCTGGAACTGCTGCAACTGAAACGGTGGCTGAGCAATATGTCTTCATGGTGGCGGATGCTCCGCCTCCGACCAACACCCATACCAAGCCACGTCTAGAGCCTAGTGACGCGGATGAGCTGTCAAAATTAGAAGGAAGAAAGAGGATTGAACTAGCAAGAATGAGGATACAAATAGCAGACCCTAGAAGGGTTGTACTCGCTATAGAGCACCCCACTACAGGCTAGAACAATAAGATAATATTCTGACACACCCCCATAGCCAAAGTGGGGTGTAATCAGCAGAGCAGGCAAAGCAAAACAAGCTCAGGGTGGATCACAATGTCACCACACATTCTGAGCACAAGTTCAAGAAGAAATAGTTTAGAGTTCACAATTATAAGCAAAGCTAGTGGTAGTCACAACGGGCAAGTGAGGAGGAGGAGGGAGAGTGAGGGGAGAGGAGACAGGAGGCGACGGCTGAAGCTGCAGACACACGGGCAACAGGAGGCACACTGGCACAGCGGCTACCGGACAGCGCCCGGACTACAGGAGTAACAGGCCCCGCGGCTCAAATAGCGGCGGACGGGCAACGGACCCACGGGCGGCTGGCACAGCTGGCTACGACTGGGCTACCGGGACAGCGCCCCGGACTACAGGTGCTGCTGACGACAAACTGGCAACCTCCGCTCATCCTCCCGCACACAGTCCCACCCCCCTGATACGCACCCACTGCTACACCACTAGCTCTACTCCCACGCACCCCCCTAAAACCCTAAACCCAGTCTCCCACACAACCACCCCCCTCAGCGACAGCTGCAGCAGTGGGAGACGAAGGAGGAGGAGGAGCAAAGGGAGGAAAGTACACTGGCCACCCCCATACCTGCCACCCCGCAAGCGGCCCCCTCAGGTCGCCTCGACGGACGACGGGAATTGGGGGGGAGGGGAGAAAAAGGGGGGGGGGGGGGACGGGGCCGGGGCCGCGACGAGGGGCGGGGCCGCGACGGTCGGGGCGGGGCCGCGACATAGGGCGGGGCCGCGACGTAGGGCGGGGCCGCGACATAGGGCGGGGCCGCAACGTTGGGCGGGGCCGCGAAGGTAGGGCGGGGCCGAGCCGGGCAGGCGCACGGGCGGCGACGAGCCAGGGCGGGGCCGCGACGAAGGGCGGGGCCG